TTTTTCTTTTCATCCCATTGGTGCAGAATATTCTGTAATATAATTATCTGCTGTCTGGTCTCTGGCCTGGTGGGATTGTTCCTGGTGGAAACATGACAGCTTCCCTTTATAGATGCAGCTTTGTAAATGTTTTTCCATCCCTTGGCTCCTGTGAGATATTTTGGATCATTTTAAATAAAGACTACTGTTGGATAATGTTATGAATGCTTGTTAATGTTTCAAGCCTTGCAGACTTCAACATACAAGGGGTCTGTCTGCCTGCTTTGGAAATGCACTTTTGGCACAGACTCGGTCTCCATAGTGAAACTCAGAGGGCTCTACAAATAATTTCACTTATAAATAACACTTGGGTAGTACAAATAATGTAGAAAAACACCAAAAAACTCTCATGGGTGCATTTAGGGGCTTTAAATGTCATCACGATTCTCATTGCAGCTACTCCCGGCGGACAAATGTATTTAAGGAGTGGATGAAAATGATCAACATGGGGGGGAAGGGGGGGGGGGGTGCTTGAGTTTTTTGAAAAGCAAGACCCTCAAGGTTCTAAGACTTCAACCATCTGTGTGTGTTGGAAAACATTTACCAAGTTACTTGTGCACTTTATAGTTAATTTTAAGGCAAAACAGCCTCAAAATTAGGATTCAGCCTCAACACTGTTTGCCTGTTTGTTTTTTAGTCATTCGTAACTTAACAAGTTCAGCTTGTTTTTAGGAGATGGACACTATGACCTTTGGTTTTTGTAAATATTTAACTTCACTTACATTTTTTTTTACCCACTGACATACTTTGAGTTTCCAGTAACTTCAGAAACTAAAGCTTGTTCAGTTTGAAACCTGCTTCAACGAACCTGCTCTGTTTTTGTCTTCTCATGCGACCTTTTGCTTTTAGCTTGCCTTTTGCTGCTTATAGCTGTCAGCTATTCTTTTGCTACATTTAACTTTTAACCATCCTTTTTCTACTTTTAGCTTTTAGACAATATTTAGCTGAGTTTGCTTTTAGCTCACCCTTTGCTACTTTTTAGCTAGAATTTTGCTACTTTCACTCTGAGTTTGCCTTTAGTCAGAATCAGAGTCCCAGATTCTTTATTGTCATTCGCACCTCATGTGGTACATGTGGTGGAGCGAAATTATGTACACAGGGTCCCAGTTACATCCAACAATAAAATGTATAAGAAAAACAGTAATAACATCTAAGATATGAACTAAGAAAAACATCAACTAAATATACACTAAGCACTCATAACATAAAAACATTGAACATCAGCACAAACATGAACATGAGTCTGTGTGAGCGGGTGTGCACGCACGAACACATCAACAGATCAGCAGCAACATGAAACAGATCAGCAGCAATATGATGTGGTTTTTCACAGTGATTATTCTAGTTAGAGATTCGTGAGTCTAAAGCCCCCAGTATACTGCCGCGTACATCCATACGCAGAGGTACGTGCGTACCCCCCAGCGTACCCTCCGTGCAAAGCTCAAATTTTTATGACAGCATACGCGGTGTCGCACAATAAACTGCCCAGCGACGGACAGTTTTGTATGTGACACCAATGTATTAAATTCCCCTTCTTCATCTCTGATCTGGCCTTTTCTTTTGTTTTTTTTTGCCAAGAGGCAGCGATCTCTTCCTCCTCCGTTGATGTCATGACTGAAATGGTGAGAAATTAAGAAATTTGTCACGAGCGAATTAAACTTGGGTCCAGCATGGCTGCGGGAGGGTCTGGAGATTTCCTGGTGGGCTGGTCTGATGTGTGGGCTGTAGAGCCAGCGCTCCCTGTTTTTTTTTTTTTTTTTTTAGATCTTTTTATTAACAATATATAAACACAGAACACCGCTGCGGCGGAGGCTGCCAGCGCTCGGTTTTTTTCTTTTTTCCGACCTGTCAATCAATCCAGTAGGCGTGACAACAAATGACCAATTGGCGACCTCAATTTGTCCCGAAGGTAAACGCCCCTTGTCTGTGAAGCTGCTCTGCAGCTGCTCGGGGTGTACGCTGGAGTATGAAGTCTGAACCCTCTGGTTACAGTACATGCAGTCCTTCATGATGCAGGTGGCCCTCTTCCTGTATCTAGAGGTGTACTTGTCTGTGATGGTGGGGAGACCAACTCCAACAGACTTCTGTGCAGCCTTCACCACTCTCTGCAAAGCTTTTCTTTCTGCAGCTGTGCAGCCTCCATACCACACGTTGATGCTGGAGCACAGGATGCTCTCCACTGCACACCTGTAGAAGGAGGTGAGGACTGAGCTTCCCAGACCAGCTCGTCTCAGCCACCTGAGGAAGTAGAGTCTCTGATGAGCTTTCTTGATCAGGCTGGTGGTGTTGTTGCTCCAGCTGAGGTTGTCATTCAGGTGTACACCCAAGTACTTGTAGCTGGAGACCACTTCCACTGCAGATCCTCTTATGTTCAGGGGGGTGTAGATGTTTTTGTTCCTTCTGAAGTCCACAATCATCTCCTTTGTCTTTTTCACATTGATGTGAAGGTTATTCTCTTTGCACCAGCTCTCCAGGTGTTCCACCTCTTGCCTGTAGCTGGACTCATCATTGTTTGTGATGCATCCCACCACCACTGTATCATCTGCAAACTTTACAATGTGACAGCCTGGATGGGTAGCTGCACAATCATATGTGAGCAAAGTAAACAGGAGGGGGCTCAACACACATCCCTGAGGAGAGCCAGTGCTGAGGGTTATGGTGGAGGAGGAGAAGTTGTGGATCCTCACTGACTGTGGTCTGTTTGTTAAGAAGTCTAGTACTCAGTTGCAAATGGAGGGGCTTAATTCTAGTGTGGATAGTTTGTCCATCAGGGTTTGGGGGATCATGGTGTTGAAGGCAGATGTGAAGTCCACAAAGAGCATATGGACGTAAGAGTTTTTCTGCTCCAGGTGGTCGAGCGCAGTGTGGACCACAGAGGAGATTGCATCCTCTGTTGATCGGTTCTCACGGTATGCATACTGATGAGGTTCCTCGTTGATGTTGATGGTTGTTTTGATGTGGGTCATGACCAGTTTTTTGAAGCATTTAGCGACTATCGGGGTGAGGGCCACTGGCCAGTAGTCATTCAGACCAGTCACTGTAGAGCTTTTTGGGACTGGGATGATGGTGGCAGTCTTTAGGCAGGTGGGAACTGTCTCCAGGGTAAGTGAGGTGTTAAAGATATCTGCCAACATCTCGCAGAGCTGATCAGCACATTCCTTCAACACTTTTCAGGGGATGTTGTCTGGGCCGGTTGCTTTGTGTGGATTAATCCTCCTGAAAGTACTCCTTACTGCTGCTGAGGTCACGCTGAGATGCTCTTCATCCGGTGGTGAGGTGAGTCTGGTGCTGGGTGGTCTGTTCAGGTCTTCAAAGTCTTTAGCTACATTTAGCTACATTTTTGCTACTTTTGTTATACTGATCTGGAAACGCTCACATGAAATGTGCACATGAATCAAGCACCGTGATGGGACCGTTGGATCTGGGATCACATGGGGGACCTTTTGCTTCTTGAAGATAGTATTATGTTACATTTTGCTAAAAGCTAGCATTTGGCTTACCGTATTTTTCGGACTATCAGGCGCACTTACAATCTTTTAATTTTCTCAAAAATCAACAGTGAGCTTTATCATCAGGTGCACCTTATGTATTAATTCTGGTTATGCTTACTGACCTCAAACAAATTTTATGTGGTACACGGCGCTCAAAAATCTGTCAAAATGTTTTAGTTTTGCTTAATGCACCTTATAATCTGGTGCACCGTATGTAAGAAAACAGACCCGTTCATTGATATTGTGCCTTGTAGTTTGAAAAATATGGTATTTTAGTTTTTAGCTAGTGTTATGCTACATCTTCAGCAGACATTCAGCACTCAGAATTTGCTCCATATTTTTGCAGAAAGTGCAATGTCTCTATATCTTTCTCATTTGTGTTATTTAATTTGAAGCTTATGAATCCATAACGGCATAAAAATACATTCAGACCTTGATCCTTGAAAAATAAAAGATGTTTCCAGTCTTTGATCGTTCTGAAAACTCTAGACAGGCCTGCTCAGAAAATTGCATGCACATTAGCTGATTACACCCACAAAGGATTTCCACAGAGCCCCACTGCAAATATAAAAATCAGCTTTTAACTCATACGAAGCACTAAACCTGCATCATGTTGGGGGAGATCAGTCATTTAAACAAAGTGAAGCTCAGTGAGCAGCTAACCACCTGCTTGCTGCTGCGCCCACAGGATATTTTTGCTCCCGATGGGCGTGTGGGGGTCATGTGGGGGTAAGTGCAGCACACCTGTGCAGCTGTCACCCTCCTCAAAAAAGTTCTGGTCATTTTAATTTAATCTATGTCACTTGTCCAAACCCCTTCTTTATCCCTTCGGCACCCATCTTCCTGACCTCCTCACCCTCCTCATCCCTCGGCTCAGCAGTGCCAGAGGCGTGCGCTCCATGATGGCTGTGAAGTCTCATCAGGTAAATGAAGCATAACCAGGAGGCACGTTTTTCCCGACACTCCTGCATTCTGCTGGCTCGTCACTGTCGTTAATCTGAGGCTGCTGGTAATTAAAGCTGTCAAAACAGGGTTCTCGTTCCACGTCCGTGTGTCCCATTTCAGCCATTCTTTGCTCTGGAATGTCTGACACAAACTCTCTGAGTAAGGACAATAAAACCTGAATTCACCGTCAGTTCCTCTTTGTCCCTTCAGATGGGTCATCTTCTTTTTAGGAGGCATTGATCACCGATAACTGATCAGGTGGAGACTCAGCCTTTTAACGGTGTTGTTTGTTTACTCGTGTGCGTGCATGTGGGGGCTTCTGGCTAACGGGTGAAGACTTACAGACACAGATGGTGGGCATCAACAGGCTGGCTGGGGCCAGATTAGCAGCCTGCCAATGTCTGAGCAGCCCCCCCCCC